GAAGTGCTCTGTTAGGATGATAAGGCTCTACGAGGTCTTTAAGATATGATGGAGCCTTGTCATTAAGGGCTTTGTATGTTAGGAGAAGGATTTTGAATTCTATTCTGAATTTTACAGGGAGCCAGTGGAGAGAAGCTAATATGGGAGAGATATGATCTCTCTTGCTAGTTCCTGTCAGTACTCTGGCTGCAGCATTTTGGATTAACTGGAGGCTTTTTAGGGACTTACTGGAGGTCTGTCATTCTGAGACTTGGAGATCTGCAGGAAATACAACATATTTATCTGCAAATACAAATTCATTCAGATGAACCAAGAATTATAAAATCTGTTGTTGAAGGAAGTTTAAGTAAATGTCACTTTATTTAAAGGAATTACAAACAAAAAAACAATGTTGGGAGCGCAGATCTATTCATGATTTATAATCCACAAATATTTAATTTCTTGCTGCTTTTTTGTATTGTCATAAGCTTCTGTCGGACTCAGACAGAGGTTCAGTCTAGTTTGGGCCTGAGGCAGGAAGGATGTTTTATTTATGAAAAACTTAAAACAAAGAACACCTGTCTCTCTCTGACCTGTTTGTAGGAGAGGAGGCCTTTCCTGGCATCAGAATGCAATGAACGTCCTAAAGCTGAGAAATGGAGACGACAGGTAAACGCTGACCAATCAGCAGAGGGGACTGTGTGTACTGCAGTACTACAGTAGTACTGATATATGTGGCTCGTGTGTGTTTCAGATCATCAGTGAGATCTCAAAGAAAGTGGCTCAGATCCAGAACGGTGAGTTGAAGCCTGACACCTGGGTCTCTCAGGTGTTGGTGATGTCTAACGATGTTCTGTCCCTGACTGACTGCTTGTCTGCCGTGTTTCCTGCTCTTGATAAAATGACACTGAGTGTACAAGGATAAATTAGCATGCCTGCTGAATCCCTGCCCTGGGTTATACCTTAGACCTGTCTTTTTGGGGAGGTGACAGTGGTGCGGTGGGTAGAGTAGTTGCCTCCCAACCAGAAGGTTGAAGCTTTGAACCTCGGTGCCACATGTCGAAGTGCCCTTGGGCAAGACACTGAACCCTCCCCCCCGCCGCATGTGATGGTGGCACGTACGCATGCAGCGGCCCGGGGCCCTCGGCTCCAAACATAATTTCGTTGTACGTGTCACAATGTTACAATGACAATAAATCAAATAAAGCTTCTTGACCTTTCTGTCTGCAGCTGGCCTCGGGGAGTTCAGGATTCGGGATCTGAACGATGAGATCAACAAACTGCTGAGAGAGAAACGTCACTGGGAGGTTCGGATCAAGGAGCTGGGAGGACCCGACTATGCGGTAAATAAGTAGTTGAAGTCAGGTCAGCCTGTGTCGTCCACAGTGCTGAAGTGAACTGTGAACACACTAGTTAATGGCGCCCGCAGCAGTAATCCTGTTTGCACCGTGCGAACATTTAAAAAATTATTTTTCTGAAGTTTTAGGCCACTGCATCTGGCGCTTATTGCTCAATCAACATATATACAGAAATATAGTTTGGAGGAGCTGTCCAGTACGGTATCACCCTCCACCTCAGAGAGGATCATACCGTGTCTACTCCCTAACGTGAGCCCTGTGCAGCTTTGTGTGTGACACTGACTTGTCAGTAATGCCTGAAACATCATCGGGACATGTGTAGGCTATTTGCTCATGAGTTCTTTAGTGGAAGAATTATTGTGCATGGATTTATATGTCTGATCAGTGATTCTCAAGGACGGGAATGTGCTTCCTAAAAGCAACACTGGTCATTGTGTGGAAAGTCGATATGGGAGGGTTTGATGAGAGGTTGCTGAAATGAATGAACATACTGCTCAGAGTGAGTGTATGCGCTCTGCTCACTGCACGCTGTGCAGGGCGCACATTGCTCTGAGAAAATACCGTAGCCAATGTCATTATAAGGAGAAAATACACTATGTCGTAAACATGAGAAAAGTCACGTTTTAATGTGAACGTATCTGTAATGAGAAAAGTATCTTGTTATCTTGGATGTTGTTTTTAAAGTTCTATGTAAATAAATTTGATTTGATAAAAAGAGGCTTCTTATTAGTACAGTTTCTTTTAACGCTGAAGCCACCATTCTTTCTTTCTCTGTTAAAAGGAATGTTTCCCTTTGGGGTTGTTGGCTATTTTCATTTTTCATAGACTGTATATAAAGATGGATGACATGTCGCCACTTCCTGCCACTATGCAGAAGTGAAGCCAAAATAGTCATGTCATGTTAATGATGTTTCAGCGTGTCGGTCCGAAGATGTTGGACCATGAGGGGAAGGAGGTTCCAGGAAACCGAGGATATAAATACTTTGGAGCAGCCAGAGACCTGCCCGGAGTCAGAGAGCTGTTTGAGAAGGAGCGTACGTACATTTTTATTCATTACCTTAAACTGTCCATCACTACAACAACTGGTGATCGGTGCTCACTGATCATGTGACTCCCAGCTGCCCCAGCACTGAGGAAGACGAGGGCAGAACTGATGAAGGACGTGGATGCAGAATATTATGGTTACAGAGACGAAGATGACGGAGTCCTGCTTCCCTTGGAGACACAGTACGAGAAACAAGGTGAGGTTATTCTGTAGTCCATTGATGATGTTCCGTAATCCGGTGATGCTGTGATCCAAGTTTACCATGCAGACTGTCATATTCTGTGTTCTCACTTAACCTGCTTTCTGGAGCACCCCCCAAACCCTTTTTCCACTTCCTGCTACCGGCTCAAGTTGACTCGACTCACCTTATTTCCGTTTCCATCAGTGAAATGTTCCATTTTTGGTATCACCTCTGTCGAGGTGTCAAGTGAGCAGAGGTGATACCAAACAGTGATATGGAAACACTGCAGGCTAGCGATTGCTACAGTGGAAAATGAAACAGCTGGTACCAAAAGCAGGTAGAGTTGAGTCAAGTCAAATTGAGCAGGTACCAGCAATGGAAAAGTGGCTTTAAGGCCCGCTGCATATTGGTCCTCACTGCAGTTAGGTTGCTTCACTAGCGTACAGGCCTGGCACACACCAGTTTTTGAAACTGTGCACGAGGCACACGGCCCCTTGCTAGTGATTGGCTTAGAACTATCATGTATCATGAGGGGGCTGCACGTAAAGTGATGCATGTACCATGTCAACCCTTTCTATTCAGTTCAATTGAATTTTTTGTGTGTGTGTGTGTGTGTGTATAGCGCCAAATTACAACAAAAGTCGTCTCAAGACACTTTACAAAGTCGCATCTAGACCTTACTATTATTAATATTATGGAGGAAAACCAAACAAGTGCTGTTGAGCAAGCACTTGGCGACAGTGGGGAGGAAAAACTCCCTTTAACAGAAGAAACCTCCGACAGACCCCGGCTCTTGGTGGGCGGCCTTCTGCCTCGACCGGTTGGGGTGAGTGGATAGGGGAGAGACAAAAGAAGAAAAGCAACAAGACACAACAATCAAACACTGATCAGGTCGATGTGGCTGGTGACTGCTCATCAGAGACGTAGAGCTCCAGGGCCAGGGCAACCTGCAGAAAGGTACAGGGAGAGAGAGAGGACACACTAAAAAAAGAGAGAGAGAGAGAGAGGACACACTAGGGGAGAGAGAGAGAGAGGACACTACAAGAGACAGGAGACACAGTTAGTGATGTGTAGTGGTGGCTTATGGATGGAGAGGAGAGGAGCTCAGAGCATCATGGGCCCCCAGCAGCCTAGGCCTATAGCAGCATTACTAAGGGAAGGCTCAGGGTCACCTGATCCAGCCCTAACTATAAGCTTTATCAAAAAGGAACGTCTTAAGTCTAATCTTAAAAGTAGAGAGGGTGTCCGCCTCCTGAACTGAGACTGGGAGTTGGTTCCATAGGAGAGGAGCTTGATAGCTAAAGGCTCCATTAAGGGCTTTGTATGTTAGGAGAAGGATTTTAAATTCTATTCTGAATTTTACAGGGAGCCAGTGGGGAGAAGCTAATATGGGAGAGATATGATCTCTCTTGCTAGTTCCTGTCAGTACTCTGGCTGCAGCATTTTGGATTAACTGGAGGCTTTTTAGGGAATTATTGGGACATCCTGATAGTAAAGAGTTACAGTAGTCCAGCCTGGAAGTAACAAATGCATGGACCAGTTTTTCAGCATCACTTTGAGACAGGATGCTCCTGATTTTGGCAACATTGTGCAGGTGAAAGAAGGCAGATCTAGAGACTTGGTTTATGTGTGATTTAAAGGACATATTCTGATCAAAGATGACTCCAAGGTTCCTCACAGTAGTACTGGAGGCAAGAGCTATGCTGGAACTGTTGTTCTCCTGGGTATGATGATCTTAATAAAGTGATCACTGAGTGTATATTAGACTATAGGTGAAGCTGCATTCAGACGGGATGAAATATGTAAATCAGTCACTACATTTATTATGTCTGTTTCTCTGTGTGCGTATACCTGTGTGTAGCTGTGTTGGAGGCGGTACAGAAATGGAGAACCGAGAAGGAGTCTCATCTGTCCGGAGACAAACAACAAAAGGAGGAGGAGGAGGAGGAAAGCATCTACACAGTCCTCAACGAAGAGGTGACCTATCCCTTTACCTGCTCCACAGTCAGCCAATTAGCTGCTGCCCAGCTGTCGGCTGACCTCAGCACACCTGCAGAATAATGAGTCCTTCTGATGGTCTTGTAGTGAATCTGATATTGGGTTCCTCAGGGTCTCACAGGGGTCTTTCAAAGCCAGGTTCACAGCTGATCTCAGACCAGGTGAACTGATAATGGCTGTAGGTGCAGACGTGTCCACCATGTGGTCTGGACCCATCTCTGAACTGCCTAATTGCAGATGGTTTTTTATTTATTGAGTGGTAAAGTACCCATCACCAGCTGTAAACGTAGTCTTGCTGCTACAGAGCATTGATGGTTTACTGCCAGTGAGCCACATGACTTACAGCCTTACAGTTCTTGTTATCCTTTTCTAAAATGCTGTATATATAGATTTTCCATATATTTCATATGTTCCATATAGATTTTAAGAACGTTTTACTTTTTGAACAGGGGGATACATGGTAAGAAAGATATACTCTTGCATGATGGGAGACAATTCTGTAAATAATCAGTCTTAGAACAAAAAGGTTGGTAGGAGATCAAACATTTTTCTTTACAGGGTAGACCTTGGAAAAAAAGGGGGGGCCGGGGGTATTTTCATAATGTGTGACGGTGACTGTTGTACAGAGGAGACCCATCTGACCACAACTTAGTATATCTGTCCATTTGTAGGTGAACTGAAAAGGTAATTATTTTCTATTATCAGAATCAACTTTATTGGCCAGGTATGTTGAACACCCGAGGAATTTGACGCCAGTATGGAATATGTGTACTTCATTAACTGTGTTTGCCCATTCCTCTGTTGTGGGGGAGTGAGGAAGCAGCCAGTGCCTAGTAGCAGATATCAAAACACTCCTAACTTCTTTTGGTTTTAAGGTAAGATTTGGATGTGGGTCCTGTTTGTTCTTTGTCTCAAGGTCTTCTCTGCTTAGTTCAGAAAATGTGTCTTTTTACTTGCACATACATTCAGGATGAGATTTTAACTTTAGTCTGCAGCTTTCTCCAACTTTTTCATTGCATGACTTTGAGAGGGTTTTTCTAAGGAAAAAATTCCAGCCAGATTTTCCAAAGTAGATGCTGTGATGTTACTGTGTCACACTACACATTTCTCTGCACAAACAGAACCTGTCTGCAGATCAGTTGGCTGAACATCAGCTGGGAGCCTCCAGTGCATTTTGTCCAGTGGCAGGTCCAATAAAGTTTATTCAAACTCAGAGTTCACAGATAGCGGAAGTGGTATTTGCGCAGTGTGAACAAAAGATACGAAGACAACACCAAGCTGTAGATGAAAGGTGGACAGGGTCTGGTCTTCAGTGAAATCCAGTATCACAGAGGTCTGGGTCGAGAACCTGGTCCTCCTTTGTGCCTGAATGTGGTCTCAATGAATCCATCTGTCTCAGACTTGATCTCAAAATAAAAGTCTTTAAGCTTCATCTGTACACTCTTCACACTCTCCAGTAGTTGCCAGGTGTCCTTGAAGATGTCAGTAAATGTGTTTGTTTTGTGTCATGGTGCAGCCCTATGATGAGGAGAGCCAAGAGGAGCAGGAGGCAGAAGAGGGAGGAGTCACCTTCATTGCACATGTACCTGTACCCTCCCAGAGAGAGGTGAGGCATACTTGTCTGTCTGTACCTGTGAGGACCCCCATTAACACAACCCAAGACTCTGAACCCCAACGTGGACCCTGAGTCTTGATCTGAACCTTAAGCCAGCATTAAATCCAACGGCCAGCCAAAATGTCTCTTGATGTTTTTGTCTGTCTCCACCCTGTCTGTCTCTCAGGTGGAGGAGGCTCTGGTCAGGAGGAAGAAGATGGAGTTGTTGCAGCGTTACGCCAGTGAGACTCTTCAGGCTCAGAGTCAGGAAGCCAGAGCTCTGCTGGGACTCTGAGTCGTCCGTCTATGACCTCTGTCAATGTAAATATCAGCTCACTTTTGTAATCAGCCTTGTTTCTTATTAAAGTCTTATTGACATCACTATGTTCTTCTTGTTCTGTTTTCAGAGGGTTTTTAACTAGCTCAGATTGTGCCAGTTTAAAAGCTTTAAATTTAGTTTTATCCACCACAGAGAGACACAGAACCACCACAGCAGATGCAGCAGAACTAAAGATGTTGTCATGATTCTGTAACCTCTTCCTCCTCATATAAACCTGATGATAATCACCTTTATTGGCCAAGTATGTTACACACAAGGAATTTGTTTCCGGTACAGAACCGATGGCAGCCATCTGCGGCGCCACCTCAACCAATGGCTCTAACCATCGGGGGCAACGGGGGGGTTCAGTGTCTTTCCCAAGGACACTTTGACATGTGGACTGCAGTGACCCAGATTCGAACCGCCGCCTCTCCGGTTGGGACACGACTGCTCTACACACTGAACCACAGTTGCCCCCAAACTTGATGCCTGCATTACCCACAATGCCCTGAAGGTTGTGGTGTGTTAAGCTACTAGTGGCTAGAGGGGTAATTCCCATTATAGAAGCCCACCAAAATGTGTGTCACAGAGTAATGCTCATCACGGTTTCTGCGTTTGTTTCCACTAAAGTGCACCTGCTTTGGAGATGCATTCTGGGAGCTCCATACAAGGCAGCTCCTGTCAAGCACTAAAAAGATCCCTGCTTAACATCCTTGACAGGGCCATTTCAGAAATAATTAGTAACCAAATTTATAAAATAAGTGTAGTCCAGTAATAAGTATAATATTTGCCTCTAAAATGTAGTGAAGCTAAAGTATGAAGTTCATCCATCCATTTTCTATATCACTTATGACTGAAAGGGGTCGCAGGGGGTCTGGACACCTGGATAAACTTGGGAACTTATTTTCCCTCCACAGTGGTAAGTGGTCCAGGTCCAGAGGCAGCAAAGCAGCCCCACATCATGATGCTTCCTCCACTGCACTTCACTGTTGGGATGATGTTATCATGTTGGTACGTGGTTCTCTTTTGACGCCATACATAGCGCTGTGTGTCCTTCCCAAACAGTTCCGCCTTGGTTTCATCTGTCCACAGGACATTTTCCGAATATAACTGTGAAGGGTCAAACTGGTCTTTGCCAAACTTCAGGCCTGCTGCAGTGTTGCTTTTGGAGGGCAGTGGCTTCCTCTGTGGCGTCCTGCCATGGATACTATGCCTGTTCAGTATTTTGCATATGTTTGAATCATGAACAGAGATGTTAACCAGCTCCAATGAATCCTCCAAGTCTTTAGCTGTTACTCTAGCATCCATTTTACCTTACATGAGCGTACTGCCTTGTGCCTTTGTAGTGATCCTGGCTGAGCACCCACTTCTATGGAGAGCAGCCAGAGCACCACATCATCTCCATTTATAGACCCTATGTCTGACTGTGGACTGATGAATATCTAAAGTCAGTGAGGTGACTGACCCTTTCTAGCTACATGGAAATCAACAACTCTTGATCGTAGGTCTGAGATCTATTTTTTGTGAAGCCTGGCTCACATTAGCTGATGCTGCTTGTGAACAGCACACTGACACTTAGTGTTTTTATAAGTCCAGGTCATTCCAAACCACACCTCCATTCTCATTTCATTGACTGGATTCCAGGTTTGTCCACACCTGACTCCTGTTGACTTTTAGTGACATCAGAAGCCTGGTGCTGCTGTGACGTTGTCCACCATCACTCTGTATGTTTAATGGGTGTGTTCAATAAAGACATGAAAGATCAGGATTGTTTGTCTTTTATCAGCTTATAAATTTTGTGTTTGTTGATATTTGTGACTTTGGTGAAGATCAGATCACATTTCATAATCAATTTATTCAGAAAACCAGGAAATTGCGAACAGTGCCATGACTTTTTCTTGTGACTGTACATTAGCAAGCTAAATAAGCTCAGACTAGCTTCCTTCTGACTACCTATGCCATTAACTGGTGTTGTATTGGACTTACTGGGAGCTGTGGTCCTGCACCCTCTCTCTTGTTTGTCTACACAGTTACTGCTTGCTAGATGCAGTTATTTGAAAACTTTTTTTTTTTAAACAGCATTGTTTGTTAACTGTACTGTCCATGTAAACAGAAACAGTCAGACTGCATCCTAGATTGAGTGCATGCGGCACAGAGCATTTTATTTATCAAAATAGGCTAATCCCTTGTTATTAATGGATGGGGCACAGCTACTAATCATAGTTGTGACTGTTAGCTAAAGATGCTAAAATGTAGAAAGGAGGGTAACTGTAACATGTTATGCTACAAAAGCTATTGTTTACATGTATCTACTGTGGCCAGAAAATGTGGATAAGTGATATGAATAATGTTATTTGGTGTGTGTTATGTAGGCTGTTAACAGTGCTGAGTAATAGCACTTCAGTAAAAGACCACACATGGTTTGTTACTAAAGGAAGGTAATTGTTCAACAGATAAAATGATGAAACTCTCCAAAAGATAAGCAAATATGACAGAGTATTGGTGCACATTCTGCTTCCAAGATGTATGTGCATCCATGAATGTTTCTAAACAGGAAACTCGTCAGTTAGTAAATTTACATTTGTCAATGTGGATTTTTTCTACAATAAGAATCACATTTGTGAGAACAATATTTCTATCTTAATAATCACACACCTACAGATCATATATAATTACTTTGATAGAAAAGGAGAGTAAACTAAAAGGAAAAGAATAAAAGTGAGTTTTGAGTTGGGCTTTAAAGGTGAGGAGAGTTGGTGCCATTCAGATGTGTAAAAGGAAGTTATTCCAGACTCTAGGGGCCACAATTGGAAAATATCACTCTCCTCTCATTTTTAACCCGGCCCTTGTAACTACTAGGAGCACCTGGTCCTTAAATCTAAGTGACCTATAGTGGAAGCATAGGGTTGGAACAGTTCCAGGAAATAGGAACGCCTCAGTCGTTAAGGGACATTGTTGGCCATCAAAGGACTGAAACGCCACCGATGAGGATAAATATCTCCGGCTCAACACCAGTCGGGCAAAACTGATGAAGCCTCTTGGATGAAACGTCTTCGACCTAAAACCGAGTCCAGTTGATTTTTTTACGGTTTTTTTTCAGCGCAATATAGGAAGAGGCTGAGCCATTTAGGACTCTATAAGTAAAAATGTGAAATAAGTCCTAAAGTGTACCAGAAGGCATGTGTGCTCACACTAAGTTTCCCGTCAACAAACATGCTGCTGCATGTTGGACCAACTGTAGACGATCAAAGGAAGACTGATTTATTCTTGCATAAAGACAGCTGCAATAATCAAGACGACTGGAAATAAACGCACGTATGCGTTTTCCGACGTTAAAATTCAGGAATGGTTTACCCTTTGACTAGTCTTGGCTTAAACAATGCAGTGTTGAAGACCAAATTGATCTGCCTGTCCAACTTTTCATAGCCCATGATAACACTCAGTTTTTGAATTTGAGTCCAAGGACTCCAAATCAACATTTAGAGCACCACAAGGGCCAATTAGCAAGCTTTGTCTTATTCTTAGTGAAATGTAAAAAGTTTAAAGCTATCCAGAATTTTAATTTCAGTAGACATAAGATTATTATTTCAACTTAATAAGAATCTGTTAAAAAAAAAAAACAGAACAGTAATTCCAGGTTGTGAGGCGAGGAGTTATGGATTCGAGATGTTTCGACCTGCTCAACATGGCGACGGGAAAAGGACAGCTTGGAAAAGGAAGCGGGGAAGCAGATGCGCATGCGCAGTGGCTGGCCCCGGGTCCCTGTAAAGATGTCTGAGCAGGAGGGGAGGGAGCGAAGCGGAGGACCCGAAACAAAAGCGCAGAACCCGCAATTCTCCGCAACTTAACTGGTCAAGGTAAGGGCATGTGGCTCCACAGAGCTTCTCCAACTGCGCCGATGCGCAGCGGAAGGTTCCCGCCTTGAGATGAACTGGGTTACCGGAGCGCAGTGCGACCGAGTGTGAAGCACAGAAGCGAAATGTTGTGCAGGACGAGCCGCGCGGTGGTAGGGGCGTGCCCGCCATCTTGTGTTAGAAGTGGCGCCCAAACAGAAGCCGTCGCACTGAACGGACACCAAGCAGGTCGCAAAAATGACCGTAAACGACGGATGTAAAGATGGCCCCGGTCCCTCTATGTGTGCTTAAATCACATTAGCCTGGTTTCACTCCGCTATGGTCCGATATAGACGGCTGCTGTGACTGTGTGCTCAAGCCGGGCTCCGGTGGAGGCGCCGCAGCCTTTTGTTGTCCTCCTCCTCCGTGCTTGTTTGGAAAGCCTGCCAGGCGCATGCGTGTAACCATGGCGCTCGTTTCTGCGTATGAGAGAAAACAGGAGAATTAAACTAATCGACACAGCGCCTCAATCAAACACAGGCACCGAGTTATCGGCTGTTCCTCGATGTCTGTGATCAGCTCTCGACACTAATACCGCTCCGTTTGCCGCCGTCTGTCTTCAGACAGCCACATTCAACCCGTCATGATAAACAGCTTGGCCTGGACTTACATTTTCTCAGCGATGTGTTAATCATTGGATCTGTCATCATTTTAATACAATCCCTGTTTTTACATGCAGCGTTACACAATTCCCACGCTTGCCTTTCAGTCAGTAAAACATATATATGCAGCACATCCATTACTGTCATACACATTTTAGGTTATTGAGTCCCGCTCAACTTTAATAGGCTATTATTAGTTTGGCTGCAACTACACAATTCTAATTTATGAGTTAATTATCCATGTTCACGTTTAACATATTCATCATTTGCCTTTAAAACAAAAAATGTCCACATTGACATCTTCAGATGTTTTATTTTATCTGTAAATCCAGCGACTTCATTTTACTATCAGAAAAACTCTGACACTGTAAGAATAGTGTGAAGTTGTCATCATCACTGAATTTTGGGTAAAGGCACCATTTTGGAATATCACCCTCATTATCCATCAGAGGGATGTACACTGCATACATCTATAAGATAATTTTAAAAAATACCATCCCACACAGCTGGCTTCATCAGACCGTGACCTTTAGCATGACCTGGGGTGATTTGCAGCTGACTGTGAAGTGGTGGGGATAAAAGTCAGCACCTCAAAGCCTGAGGCCATGGTGCTCTGCTGGAAAATGGTGGACTGCTCTTCTTGGGTTTGGAGTGAATTGCTGCCCCAAGTGAAGGAATTCAAGTATCTCGGGGTCTTGTTCACAAGTAAGGGTACAATCGAGCACGAGATTGATAGGCGGATAGGGGCACCATCAGCAGTAATGCGGACGTTGTACCAGACCGCTGTGGTGAAGGAGGAGCTGAGCCAAAAGGCAAGGTTCTCAACTTACCAGTCAGTCTACACTCCAACCCTCATCTATGGTCATGAGTTGTGGGTAGTGATAGAAAGAATAATATCTGAAATGCATGTGGCCAAAATTTGTTTTCTTCCAGTGTGGCCGGACTTTGCCTTAGAGATAAGATGCAGAGTTCGGACATCCAGAAGAGACTCAGAGTAGAACCGCTGCTCCTTCACATTCAAAGGAGCCAGTTGAGGTGGTCTGGGCATCTTAGCAGGGTGCCTTCCTTTGGAGGTCTTCTGAGCACGTCCAACTGGTAGGAGACTACAGGGCATACCTAGAACATACTGACGAGATTTTATATCTTATTTGGCCTGGGAACGCTTCGGAATCCTGCCAGAGGAGCTGGAAAATGTTGCTGGGGAGAAAGATATCTGGACTACCTTGCTGAACCTGCTGCCACCACGACACAATTTCAGATAAGCAGAATAAAATGGATGGATCAGAATCAGAATCAGCTTTATTGGCCAGGTGTGACAGACACGCAAGGAATTTGACTCAGGTACATCGGCTCTCAATGTGCAAAACAATAAACCAGCATAAGGCTGTGTAATATAACAAAATAGCAGTATTAACATCAACAACAGTGCAAACAATGCAGAAAACGCAGTATAAACAGACAGTAACAATGCAGACAACAAAGGAATGTTCATTGAAATGAGATAAATAGGGATAAAAGCAGAGTAGTTAAGAACTAGAGACCTCTATGACTCTATAATCTGTACAATGTATATATACACAGGTATTGCACTGAGGGTTATTGTCTAATTTTACTGTCATGGGTTAAGTGTTCTATGGACTATTCTGAGAATTTTCTTAGAATTTGGTCACTAGGAGAAACTCTTTGGGCTTAGGATGCTTTGTGAATACAGGCCCCAGCTTTTATGCTTCCTTGCCGGCGATAGCCACAGCTGGAGGCATTATGCTTTCAGGTTATTTGTACATCTGTATGTCTGTCCGTCTTCCTGTATGTTTATACAATCCTTGTGAACGTTATATACCAAGAACACTTTCAGGGAATCTCTTCAAATTTGGCACAATTGTCCACTTGGGGTACGTTTACACGGAAACGCTCTTGACTGTAAACGCCTACTTTAGTATGCGTTTTGGCCTTCCGTTTAGACGGAAACAGGTTAGCCGGGTAGCGAAAACGGAGACTTTTTAAAACGGGTCCCAAAGTGGAGAGTTTCAAAACGCCATCTAAAACATTTTCATGTCAACGTTATAATCCGCATATGTTTACGAAACGATGACGCCATCGCCCCACGTCAGCTACTGCTAGTGTCACATTGACTGCGACATCAACATAAACAGTGGTGAACTATATGCGTTCATGCTACACACAGATGCTAATGAACTTATTAGCATTAGTACAACTGCTCCTTTACTACTGCTGCGACCAACAAAATAATGTTGGTAACTTCGTAGTGTTCACGCAGTGTTGCCAACTCCTCAGCAAGGAAAGTAGATATTGGCTAATGACGCCATCGTCTTCAAGGGTAATGTGCATGCTCAGACGTCGTTTTATTCGTTTTCACTGTTTTCATGTCGACGCAAATACTTCCTGTCTACACAGCAATCGTTTTAACGAAACTGTGCGTTTACAGTCAAGAGCGTTTCCGTGTAAACGTACCCTTGGACTCAAGGGTGAGCTGATGAGATTTTAGAGGTCAAAGGTCAAGGTCATTGATCTCACTTCTGTCCCATAGCTGTAAATTGGACATACAACTGCAAAATGGTAATTCTAGTTTGTTTGTTTGTTTGTTTGTTTGTTTGTTTTTACAAACCTCCAACTAAAAATGAAGTGCAAATTTGTGCTTCAAAAGCTAATAGAAACTGAAGAATGTCTGTTTCATCAATCCTACTGAACCAGGGCTCCAGACTAACATTTCATACTGGTGGCACTGGATTTGGTAGCAGCACCTCTGTTTTACATCATAATGCAAAATAATCAGTATTTTTTATAAATCATTTTAAATAACCTTACCACCAAATGTGCACTTTAGGGTTCTATAGCTTAGCAGTCAACATGATGATGATGATGATTATCATCATCATATTTCAACTGAAGTATAAACCAATGAATTGCACACATGCTTTGCCATTTGTGTACGTGATTTATTTGTAGCCTGTTTTTCTTCTGAAGAAGAATTTCTGCTTTTTGGCAATATCTGTGTTAGACTTCATGCACAGTGTAGCTCACTCACTCAGGTGGCTAGTGCCAGATTGGTTTTAGGCTAAAGTTACCAGTAGTCTACTACTTAAAGATGGACCTGATGGTGGGTTTCAGCCACTACTAACTTGAAACTGGGATTTCACTGGACATGAGTGGCGTGTATGCGCGACTTAAGTGTTTGATCCATTCAGTCCAAACCAACTTTGACCTTTGTGCAGTGTCTCTCATCAGAATAGCTGTCTGTCAACAGGAGGATAGCATGGTCTTCACCAGGCTGACTGACAGCAGAAGGACAAAAGTAGTTTTTATGTAGGCTGATCAGCAAGAAATCAGCAGTGTTTATCTTCTTCTTCTTCTTCTTCTTCTTCTTCTTCTTCTTCTTTGGGCTGTTCCCGTTAGGGGTCGCCACAGCGAATCATCTGTTTCCACCTACAGTAACTCTATCCTCGGCATCTTCTACTCTTACCCCAGTTAACTTCATGTCCTCTTTTAGCACATCCATATCCTTCTCTCCATCATGTCCACCAGCTCTCTACCTTTCCCTGTCATTGTGCCAACGTTGAGTCCCTATTCTCAGACCTATACTCCTGTCTTTCCTCTTCTCTCTCTGTCTACGACTCCTACCTCCTCTCCTTCTTCGACCAACAGTAGTCCGATTTCTGCCAGTACCCTGTAGGTCAACAGCACTGGTGGCGGTCGTTGTTAACCCGGGGCTCGACCGATCCGGTGTGGAATTTGCACTGATGATTCGCATGTTTAAATTTGGCATGTTTTTACGGCGGATGCCCTTCCTGACACAACCCTCTCTATTTATCTGGGCTTGGGACCAGCACAGAAGTCACTAGCTTGCAACCCCTGTGGCCAGATTCAGCAGTGTTTATATGTTCTGATTTTTTTATTTTATTTATTTTCGTGTCTTGGACAGGGGGAAGTAAAACCAGAAAGCTCAGTGACACCAGGACCCTGATCCACCAGAAAAAATTCAAGTAAAAAGGTTCCAACACACAAACAGGCCAACAGGTGATCTACCTGATTTAAGTAGCCGTCCGTGGCGACTACACTTCAAATGCGTCAAAGGAAAAAATAAACGTGAAGGGGTCAAAAGGGGTCCAGGGATGATGCGTGTGTCTTGGAGTCAGTGTATCAACACATTTGATAGTCAGTCTCTGATTTATGAGACCTGTAGATAAGTGTTGCGATGACAGTATTATTGAGATTGTTCTGTTTGTCCACCATTTCTACAGTGAGAGCAGTCGTTTGTGCATAAGCTGTTTATTTTAAAGTTGTGTGACCTTTGAAAAAAAGTCGCACCTTCAATAAATTTGGTCGCAAAATGAGATGTGCATGTCAAGTGAAGCCAGTAATTTCCTCACTGTGTATTATTTGTCAGAGGTTTGGACCATAGATTCCCCTTCTCCATGGTGCTTCTGTGGGCTCCTCTGTGCATATACTGTACACCAAGTGCTTCCAGCACGCAAGCCACCATGTGCCTAGTACAGACACAAGTGCGAGTCTTGCGCTCACAGGTGACCGAGTGTTTCATGATCTCACAGGTGACAGGTCTCACTGTAACACCATCTATCACATTTATGATTTATAACAGGGGTTTTCAACCAGTGGTCTGCGGAAGCCTGGTGGTCTGTGAAGGCATGGTGGTCTCTTACCATGTCTTCGGTGATGTAGTTTCACTGTGGGTATCTTTGTTTCAGTCTTTATTTGTAAACACATTTCCATGTACTATTATTATTCAATAATCAAATTTTTGCTAATATATATATATAACATTTAGAAAAGCCATGGTCATTTTCAGGATTAAAATAGTGCTCATTCAGTCTAGTTATCCCACAGCTGTGGTCCTCAAGCTGCCTCTTCATCAAAGTGGTGTTCCCTGAATCAAAATCATTTGAAAACCCCTGGTTTGTAACAAACGGTTTTTGTTTTCACAGTAACATCAGTATAAATGATCCTGGCCCTAACCATAATCCTTACCCACAGTCAGTCACTATTCATCAGAGTTCATACAGATCTCAGGTCAGGTCAGTGCTGAATTCACATCAATACCTGTACCCAGGCTCTCACCTGTGTTTTATTTTGAAAGTTACAGCCTCTCTTCCTGTCCAGGCAGATCGATGTCATTCTGACGAGCTGAGATGTCCAATGACAGCCAGGGGTCAGTGAAGGGGGAGGCAGCCATGGTGCTGCCTACCCCTGGCTCTGTCACCTCTCAGGGACCACCTCTCTCTCCTTCCACCACCTCCAAACCACCTGAGCTCCCAGGTACACCTATCTGTCTCTCTCAGTGACCCATGTCTGTTTCTGTCACCTGTCTCTCTCTCTGACCCATCTCTCTGACTTGGTAGATGAGCTGGTCCAGGCAGGCTGGTCTAAGTGCTGGTCTCGGCGGGAGAACCGACCCTATTATTTCAACAGATTCACCAATCAGAGCCTGTGGGAGGTGCCAGTGCTGGGTCAGCACGATGTCATCGTGAGTCTTTTTCCACTCAGACAGTAGAATAATAATAAAATCCAGTAAATAATGACTATATAAAAACAGTCTGACATTTGAAGGTGCATTTGATGTCATTTCCTGGCACTATGAAATGGTGAATTATGGCTTTTTCATGTGCTAATGTTAAAAATGTTATATTATTAACATATTGTAAATGTTGGATATAAGTGTTTTATATCCACAACCAGTCAAGGTTTGGACACACTTTCCCATTCGGTTAAATGGGAAACTGTGTCCAAGCTTTTGACTGGTATTGTATTATTATGACTAATACTGCTTACTGTTAGTATGTACCACTGACTGCATATAAAAGATGGAAAACCCACCTTGACGTCACCCTTGGTTTTCTGAAAAGCAGTTTTGAAGCTCAAGTCTGGCCGTTGCCATATTGCTAGTGCTTCACTCCACCTGCTATGGCTAATCCAAAAATGGCCTAAGGGGTGAAGCTGAGGTGGGCTGAATGAGCACAATGAAGCTAGCCACCAGTGGCAGGACCCTCCTACTACCTAACTGAAAGCAACCTGCCCTTAATTTTGTTTAACTTTTAGTGTTAATATAACTTAAACTGGCAAGTTACACAACCCCCCAGAGGTTGCTGCTTGGTATGTACAGTTACGTAGCAGTTATCTGTGCCTCTCTCTCTCTCTCTCTCTCTCTCTCTCTCTCTCTCTCTCTCTCTCTCTACACACCTGTCTGTCTGCAGTCTGACCCTTTAGGTCTGAATGCGGCCCCGGCAGAGGGTGGAGACAGCAACCTTGGTAACGGTCAGAGGAAGAGGAGGAGTTCTGAAGAGCAGTCGGTGGGGCCTAATAGCTTCAAACGAACTAAGGTAGGAACTTAGAGCACACACCGGGTCAGGTGATCAGTTTATAACTTCATGCCACGTTTATTGTTATGCCTCTGTGCTGGTGATAGCCATGGCTGGAGATGTTGGATGTATCCAAAATTCCTCCCTATTCACTCGATCACTACTCGAAACTGTCATGGGAGTCTGACGGTATCTACCAGCATATTACATATGGTTATTTTACTAGTATAACTGCACTCAGGTTGCAGAATTTGACACTAGCATAGTGGATGCTCCAGTGTCAGCTTTTAGAGCTGTTGTGTGGCAGCATTTCAGTTTTCCTCTGTGAAGAAATGGCACAAGTGAAAAGGAAACTGACAAATAATTTGCATATACTGCCAGGTGAAGGCAATACTGGCCCCATTTAGAACTGAGACAGTTCTGGATATGTTTTGCAGAAACTGTTAAGACAGCTGTGCACAACAATTTAAAGGCAATGCGAAAACGAACTTGATGTGCAAATGCAAAACCAACCACTTAGTGTAACCACCCTTAAAAATCCCATGGCCTGCTCATTTCCAGCAATTTATTGTTTATTCTTGGGTACCTTTAGAATAGCTTTCATAATGCCAAGTAATCTACATGAAACCGCGTTTTGAAATGCATCTCGACGGGGCAACAAAAAAACATCGACAAATAAGCAGTTTTGACAATGACAATAGCTCAAATCCTACCTGACATGTTTACGTCAGAATATGAAAGTGGACAGTATAACAAACTGCAACGCCATCAATTAATCTGAATGTCTCCTCCATAGATAGTTAAACAACAGTATATGTACCAATGAAGAGATGTGTAACACTCTAAACAAAGCGGGTAACTGAGGATCCCCATATTTTAACTGGCAAAATACAGACATAGTAACTTCTCCAGACTTACAACAGTTCTCTCTAATGTTACAGAAACAAGGCATTAACAGACACACAACGTGTGTTTTTTAAACTTACCGTTAAGTCCCACCGAGTAGTGGAAGCATCGCTCCATTTTAAGTAGCTCCAAGGTCGGTAAATCCAAACGGTGGTTGTGGTCTTCCTGAACACGGCTCCTCTGGCCGACTGCTTGTAGGTTAGACCCGGTCAGGTAAAACAGCGGGTCCCTGTACAGGAACATTCCTGGACATGCAGTAACCTCAGGCCCTGTATTTTTCTCCACATCCTCTGGTCACAGTGCAACAGGAGGGAAAATATATTGACAAAACCGGATGCATTTGAAAAATTCGGCTTTTACATTGGCACCAGTGGATGTCAGGCAAGCTCACATGAACTTATATGACCATTCAAGGAAATCCTTAAACTAGCACGTAAGACTTTATATTGTTAGAAAAAAGTTCTCGCAAGCTAGAATTTGTAAAACTTGTGTAAACCGAGTTGCTTCTGCACAGAAGTACAAAAAAATACGTACACCTCATTTTTTGAGCTTTAGGTCACGTTTAAGATGATAATTCACCGCTGTAACATTATAGATAAGGCAGAAAAGAAGGAAAAAACGCCATGGGCTCTATAAAGTCTTTTCTCTTATAATGTAGACCACAATGTTTGAAAACACTTCCAGTCAAGCACAAATCTCACCTTTTACAGTCAGGTCCATAAATATTGGGACATCGACACAATTCTAACATTTTTGGCTCTATACCACCACAATGGATTTGAAATGAAATGCTTTAACTGCAGACGGTCAGCTTTAATTTGAGGGTATTTACATCCAAATCAGGTGAACGGTGTAGGAATTACAACAGTTTGCATATGTGCCTCCCACTTGTTAAGGGACCAATAGTAATGATTGTTTGAGTGTAGTTTGGCTTCTTCTTCTCCTTGTTCTAATGTGCCATGCAGCACTTTGTTCACTACTGCCCCCGGTGGACATTGTGGGGGATACCCACTTCAACTGGTCCACTAATGCAGTGGTCCCCAACCCCCGGACCGGTACCGGTCCGTGGATCAATTGGTACCGGGCCACACAAGAAATCATTAATTATTTCCGTTTTATTTATTATCTGAGTCTGAACGATCTTTTATTTTGAAAAATGACCGTATTCTCTCGGTTACATCTCGGTCACTTGAGCGCCAAAACTGGCTTACTTGTGGACATATTCAGCCTGCTCAATGAACTCAATCTGTCACTTCAGGGGAAAATGACAACTGTCTTCCCGGTCAGGTAAAACAGCGGGTCCCTGTACAGGAACATTCCTGGACATGCAGTAACCTCAGGCCCTGTATTTTTCTCCACATCCTCTGGTCACAGTGCAACAGGAGGGAAAATATATTGACAAAACCGGATGCATTTGAAAAATTCGGCTTTTACATTGGCACCAGTGGATGTCAGGCAAGCTCACATGAACTTATATGACCATTCAAGGAAATCCTTAAACTAGCACGTAAGACTTTATATTGTTAGAAAAAAGTTCTCGCAAGCTAGAATTTGTAAAACTTGTGTAAACCGAGTTGCTTCTGCACAGAAGTACAAAAAAATACGTACACCTCATTTTTTGAGCTTTAGGTCACGTTTAAGATGATAATTCACCGCTGTAACATTATAGATAAGGCAGAAAAGAAGGAAAAAACGCCATGGGCTCTATAAAGTCTTTTCTCTTATAATGTAGACCACAATGTTTGAAAACACTTCCAGTCAAGCACAAATCTCACCTTTTACAGTCAGGTCCATAAATATTGGGACATCGACACAATTCTAACATTTTTGGCTCTATACCACCACAATGGATTTGAAATGAAATGCTTTAACTGCAGACGGTCAGCTTTAATTTGAGGGTATTTACATCCAAATCAGGTGAACGGTGTAGGAATTACAACAGTTTGCATATGTGCCTCCCACTTGTTAAGGGACCAATAGTAATGGAACAATTGGCTTCTCAGCTGTTCCATGGCCAGGTGTGTGTTATTCCCTCATCCCAATTACAATGAGCAGATAAAATGTGCAGAGTTCATTTCAAGTGTGCTATTTGCATTTGGAATCTGTTGCTGTCAACTCTCAAGATGAGATCCAAAGAGCTGTTACTATCAGTGAAGCAAGCCATCATTAGGCTGAAAAAACAAAACAAACCCATCAGAGAGATAGCAAAAACATGGAGATGAAAAAAGCAGTAGTACTTTAAGTTAAAAGGACAGTCATGCAAAAATGCAGATTTGTTTAGTAAAGGGCATTTGTTTTTCTTTTTTTTCTTCATTATTTTAAATATTGTGCATTTTTTATTTTGGCCACATCATACTATAGTTTTTTGGTATTGTTACATCCTGAGAATAGATTTTTTTTGTCATTTTTCTTGCAGATGCATACACAATAAAAATGAAAAATGTTTTCTTATGTTTTACAGCAATGCAAGGGTAAAAAAACAAATAACTCACTAAAACATTAAAACAGCCACCACTATAATTTAAAACAAAGCATACACTAACCATCTCCTAGGCATCAAAACAGAAAAATGAATTAAACTAATGACTGGTGCCATGGGAAAGTGACTCTTCTGACTTGGTGTCCTTTGATCCAGGTGGAACCCACTACGCCCATCTCTCCCAGTACCCCTGGGATCAAACCTTGGAGCTCTGCCCCTGAGGACAAACAGGCCCAATCAGCAACACCGACAACCCCGAGCCCTGCCCCCGCCCCATATAGACCAGCAGTGTGAGTGCTGAAGCCACACCCCTCTTGTTAGCATCTTTAGCACCTCTGTTGTCATTGTATCCCCTTGAGGGTTAACATTTTGTTGTTTTTAGTGTTTACTGGGATTTGGATGTCCAGACCAATGCAGTGATTAGGGAGCACCCCCCAGCCAACCACCTGCCCCCCCACCCTGAGATTGAGCTGCAGAGAGCTCAGTTGGTCACCAAACTGAGGCAACACTATCATGAGCTGTGTCACCAGAGAGAAGGTACCATCACACCTGACATGACCATTAACTGTAAAGGGCTGGATTCTGTGTTCTGCCTGAAAACACAGGATCTGGAGATCTTCCACAGTTCAATGAACAAGAGTTATGTATTTAACTGGGAATGTTTCTTGACTTGAGAATTGACTTAAGTTGTCCACTACACAGAGGGTAAGTGGTTCAATCCCCTGCTCCTTTATGTCAAAGTAACCTTGAGCAAGATACTGATCTCCAAGTTGCTCCTCATGCTCAGGCCATCAGTTTGAGTGTATATAAGCATGTGAGCTTGACTTGACCTGTGAGTTATTGGTCTTGACTTAAAATCAGGGTAAAACAAAATCAGTGATTTGTTTCTATAAACCTTATACATGTCAGTAGTGCTAATGGTGGAGTTTGACTGTTAAACAGCTATTTATCACTTTTGAGTTCAGGATTGTCTGGGTGGGGCAGAAAGGATGTCTCGATGACGTGCTGGACCCATCCTTAACATAATGTGTCCCCCATGTTATAAAAGCTCACAGGGCTCTATACCTGCATTTGTTTTCAGGGCCACTCGATATGAGCACACACAAACATTACGGCTACAGTTATGTAAAAAAATTAATAAATAAAAAGCATTAATTCTGCTGGCTCAGTATTAAACATTGACAAAAGTAGGAACACATGAATGATGAATGTGTTGGAACGGGTCTGAACTGACCGTAGTAAGTGGAGGGAGAGAGAGACGTGAGGGGGTTAACGGCCACACAGTGGACCCTGCAGCTGCTGTTGTATTGGACAGAGCACCACAGTTAAGCTAGCTGTTAGCTGCTAGCCTAACAAGCTCGCAGACTGGGCAAAGCTAAAATTGTGGTTTCTCTGAGAGTTTGTTTGTTTAGCAGGTGTTTCATTAAATTGCTCTTGCTGGCTTATTTATTTTATATGTACAGTAAAGAGCATAAGAAGCGTAAACTTCAGCCATAAGTTTCACTTTCACTTCTCCTGGGGTCCCTCTCTCCACTGCTGCGACAGCACCTGTCTGTTCCCTGTGTGTGTGTGTGTGTGTGTGTGTGTGTGTGTGGGTGTGTAAAAAAAAAAAAAAAATCAGCTCAACATCATGAAAAATTAAGGAGCAGTCTCTACCCTGAAACGCTGGGGGCGTGTCAGATGAAAACACTGAAACCGCACCCAATCGCAGAAGTGTTATCATAATGGATATATTAATGGAGAAGATGCATTTCTAGGGTGGAGGCATAACTAGCTAGCTAGCAAACTGTAGGCTGTAGTAAGTGTAGTGACTTGTCATCAAACATCCGAACTGGTGCTACTGCACTAGGGCTTGACAGGCACTTGGCGATATTTTTAATAATTCAAATTTAGCTGTGTGGTTAATAACACATCTTCCTGTGGAGTGACAAACTCACAACACATTTATTTTCACTTTACTCCAACTTTAAGACCGAACGTGGGACCTGAACTGTGTTTAAGGCTATGTTGGTCTCAAAATCCATGCCCTGTACACTAAGGAGCTGGGTGTGTGCTTCAGGTATTGATCCGCCCCGGGAGTCATTCAACCGTTGGCTACTGGAGAGGAAAGTGATAGACAAAGGTCATGACCCTTTACTACCAAGTGACTGTGATCCCGTCGTCTCCCCATCCATGTTCAGAGAGGTCATGAACGACATCCCAATCAGGTACCTGTCTGTCACTTGGCTCTGCACACTCAGGTTTCTGTGCTGGAAATGTATCACCTCAAAGCTGGACGGTTAATAAAATTTGTATTGTAATCATTATGATCATTTCATGTTGATTAATATCTTTGCATGTCTCAGGTTGTCTCGTATTAAGTACAAAGAGGAGGCCCGGAAGCTGCTGTTTAAATATGCTGAAGCCGCCAAGAAGATGATTGACTCCAGGTAGGTTATAACAGACCAGTCACAGTGTGTTATCCTACTGAGGTCAAGAGCTGATGGATAGGCTGATGTTCAGGAAGCTCTGACCTCTGTCCTTTGACTTGTTTAGGAATGCGAGTCCAGAGAGTAGGAAGGTTGTAAAGTGGAATGCTGAAGACACCATGAGCTGGCTACGCCGAGATCACTCCGCCAGCAAGGAGGACTACATGGTAATCACTGATTTTTCACCTGTGGTCATGTTAGGATGTTTGTTCTCTGGATGTTTAGTGGATTGGGTAGAACACCAGAGACCACCTGAGAGCAGTCAGATCTTCAGCTGTATCTCGTTCAGGTAAAAAGAGGAGCAGGGCTGTCAGCTGTTCTCCACCTGGTGATGTGTTGGATCTGGTGCAGGAGACTGCTAAACAGACCTTGTAAACCCACCAATGTAAGAAATGGTTTTGCATATACAGATTCTTGGTGGGCCTTGTTCAAAACTAGAACTGGGGAGGGCTCTGGATATTGTTGGGCTTCCTTTAAGTGACACTTGGTTGGTGACAGTACCTGTAGTCTGGCAGACTGTTGTGAGGTTTTCCATTTTTAAAAAGCCTTCTGTGAGAGTTTATGGTTGACTGATTGTTGATCCTCAGTTTCAGGAGGACTGATGTTGATTCTGTCCTCATTCTAAATCAGTGAATTAGCTGTTTTGTTTTGCAGGGGTCATAGAGTTTGTCCATCTAGTCAACATGCAGTTTTGTAGACTTGGATGTTTATGGCACTTTATATCCTTTGGGGCATCTTGCAGTGTTTGCCACAAATGGGCTTCACCTGGATGGGCTGCCTTGGTATAGTAACAGCCACCCACGTATATTTGGCCTTCCATTTTTATTATTATAATAAAAAAAAATCTGTCCAAAAGATTATGCCATCCACAGTCGATTAACTAGAGGAGAAACCTCTCACTCTTGGTTTTCTTTTTTTGTTTTTTTTTAATTGGGCTACTATTTGAAATGGATAGAATCTTATTTCATTGTAGAACTACACACGGTGCATCATTTTATTAACCCTTTGCTTGTCCCCCCCACATACACACTTGCAACAAACTGTCAGTGAACAGCTCCTCCTCTCCGTGTCTCTGTTCTTACCACAACACTGTTAATCATGGAGATCCAACTCTTCTAATAAGTTATTAGCAAACTAGTAATGATAGCTAAACTAAACTTGCAGCTGTTGCCAATGTTAGCATGCTGTATATAGCATGGATGTATATGGATGGCTCTGGATTAGGGTTAGTGGATACAGTTGATTCTAATTCTTAAACTCTGGTGCTGAATGTTTGCTACCTCAGTCCAGAGGAATATTGAAAATGATTGTTTAGAGTCAAAGGACCTGGGCCAGAAGTATGAGCAAAATATTTTGCTTTGGAAAACATGACAAAATCTGACAGGTGTGATTAGCTGAAGAGAGCGATGTAGTCTGCTTGGTAGGACACATGGTCAACTGGAGACAGGGTCATGGACGCCCACGGCTCACTGATGATGAGGTTCATCAACTGTAGATTAAACTTTTAACTTCCATTTGTATTTTACAAAAGATTAAAATTTGTTTGAATCTTTTTTTAAAATGGTTGAAAATGAGAAACACTGTCCATTGGTCTCTATGAAGAGAAAGAGTCAGGGGCTGTAGTGGTGATATCACACCTAGAGCGGTGAGGCTGTTGGATTGGTCTAAACATTCTAATTCTTCCTCATGACCAGTGTTCACTCCTTTTACATAAGTTTTCCACTGAACTGTAGACATCTGTGCTCTTCCTCACAGTAGAACTGTGGAAACAGATGGATTCACAGAAGATGCACAGTGAGCTGCAGAGTGACACAAGTGACGACCGACTGCCACAGGGACTCCTATGTAAACAGTGTTAGGCAGGTGGTCGTAATCTTATGGCTGATCGGTGTATATTTCTGCTACTAGAGCTTTGGGTATGTCAGTAGTTCAGAAAATGGATTCTACAGGGTGTTCTGTTGCAACAGCAGGCCCTCAGACACATCCCATTCACAAAGACTGTCACCAGTAGTGAGAGGATGTCCTCCATGTGGCAGGGCAGTGGCTGCAACTGCCTTGTATTTTTGGGGACCTACAGACCTTTGACTGTTGCTCACTTTACACATGCTTCTACCCTTCGTTATGGTCACTTCTTGACCCTGTCACTCTAAAGAAGCGTAAGATGTTCAGTTCATTTTAGTTCAATTTATTCGTATAGTGCAAAATCACAACAAAATAATCTCAATACACTTTACATAGTAAAGTCTAGGCATTACAGTATTATAGAGAAAAACCCAACAGATCAAACACTTGGCGACAGCGAGGAGGAAAAACTACCTTTAAAGGCAGAAACCTCTGACATCTCCTGGCTCTCGGTGGGCGGCCTTCTGCTTTGACCAGTTGGGGTGAGTGGATAGAGGAGAGAGAATCACGTTTATTGGCCATGTACTGTGTACGTCTAAACACACAAGGAATTTGACTTCAGTACAGAGGCTCTGTGTGCTTTTTTTAAGGCAACAAAAAAATAGTAAAATATGTGCATTTAACAGGAAAGAGAATAGGACAAAAGGGAGAAAATTATTTGCAAATATATATATATACACAGTGTGGCAGGAGAACATTTAGGCTGTTATGTACAATATTTAGAGGCCCAAGCACCCACGGGGCTTTCGCTCAGATTATTATTATTCCACCGCTAAGCAGTTGTGTAGACTAAGCCATATGTGGTGCAAAGATCCTATTTTAAAAGAAGGTAGTAGCACAGATAAATAAGAGCCCCACAAATAATGACCGAGGTCAGTCATAGGGGAGCACTATAATGAACGCGAAAACGTTTTGTTTCACACCTCGCTAGCTATAATCTATACATTCCAAAACTTGATATCTAAGACTACGTTCACACTGCAGGTCTTAATACTCAGATCAGATTTTTTTGCCGAAATCTGATTTTTTTGCGCTGTTGTTCACACTGTCATTTAAATGCAACTGCCATCTGTCTCATGTGTGAACGGTATAGGGCCCTGAGGTGACCCGCATGCGCAGAAGAGGACGTGGCGTCAGACGCAGTGTACGGTGTTTGCGAAAATAAAAATGGATGTGGCTCGTGATAGCATGTGCGTAGTGGTGTACTAGTTAATGTGCAATCGAAATAAAGAAATAATAATAAGAATATCAAGAAGAAGGAGAGCACAAATATTGCTTATGGCCTCGCTTTCTCCAGCGCAGAATTGTGACGTCTGTCGCATTTCAATGACATAAAAATCACATGAAATGCGACATGGCCGTTCAGACTGAAGTCACATTGCAAAACATCGGATATGTATCCGATTTAGGACCACATATGGAAGTGGCCTGGGCTGGATTTGAAAAAATCGGATTTGTGCTGTTCACACTGTCATAAGGAAATCGGATATGGGTCACATTTGGGCAAAAAGATTGGATTTGGGCCACTTCAGCCTGCAGGTTGAACGCAGTCTATGTGTTCCCCATATTGAGCCGCATCTGCTGGTATAGGCCACGCCCATTTCCATTGACAAAAATTTAATGCAACTTGTCTGTGGTTTTTCAACTGAGGATGACAAACTTGCTGTCAAAACATTCTCTGGAACCTCGATGTCAGTAATTATCAAAAGCATGCTTGATATTCTACATAGTTCACTAACCATGCAAGTTTGAATGTTGATGGCGCAGTGTCGTTTTTGGAAAAAGGCTGTATCTCACTGAAATAAAATCACAGTTGCATGAGATTTTACCAGAACCTCAAGGATGAGTTGTTAATTTCCCATGCAAAATTTGGTCTTACTGTGCCACTAGGTGGTGCTGTAACCTGTTTTTTAACTCACATCATTAAAACAGCATTTTTTTTATTTTTTATTTTACCATTCTGCTGTGCATGTTCAGTATATGCTACAGATTCAGCATGTTAGAGTTGATGAAAATTGGTCTAATGTTGGCTTTTCGATTAATAATTAAAGCGGAATTAAAGGGGTCCTATTATGCAAAATCCAATTTTTGATCATATTAACACGTGGAGGATGAAGCTGTTTGTAAGTCTGGTGGAGTGGGCCTGAAGACTCTGATACCTTCTCCCTGAAGGCAGGCGTCTGAAGTGGGAGTGTGCGGGGTGGAAGGTATCATCAGCAATGCTGATGGCTCTTCGGGTGAGGCGGGTGTTAAGGATGTCCGTAAAGGATGGCAGAGGGGCGCTGATGATCTTCCTGGCTGTATTTAAATCATTTTATTCTATAAACAATCTTAATCTTGTTTTTTCTGCTCCTGTTTGTACAGCACTTTGGCCAACTGTGGTTGTGTTAAATTGTGCTATATAGATTTTGACATTATAAGCTAGCTAAAACTTCTTGTGTTCTTGTAATAGTTGGCAATAAAGTTATGCTTAAACTAGCCCCACCTTTACGAGCTGCATTACTAAATGTGATGTACACAATAATGCCTCAGCCATTATAATTCAATAATATGATATACATTCATGTTAAATGTGCCATTCTGCATAATGAGTACTTTAATTATTAGTACTTTGTTTTTATGCTGATACTTTGTACTTAAGTAACATTTTGAATGCAGGACATTTACTTGTAACAGAGTATTTTTAGACTGTGGTACTGTTACTTAAGTAAAGGGGTCTGAGTACTTCTTCCACTGCTGAATAAACCTGGGTGGGACAACACGACTGTGGCGCCCTTCAGCAAGACCCTCCCTTAACTCCAGCCCCCATCTGCTCCAGTGGAGCTACTCAGTGGCCACAGGTCAGTCTCTGGTTGTACTGAACAGCTCTCAGGGGTCAGTGTGTAACTGTGTGGACAGGGTGCCCCTGAAAAAGCAAGGTGGCCACTCAGTGAACCCACCCTGAATAAATAAAGGTAAGAAACTTTCCCAGTGGATGTATGTTCCAACTTTCACCTGTGGAGACATACTTTGGGTTCAGCCTTGGGCGTAACCTTAGAGATTTGGCAAGACGTTCAGGCATCCTCAAGTAGAATTGGAGTCAGAAGTCAGATGAGAATCTAATTATCATTCACCTGATGTATTCTGAACAAACAGAGAGATGACCCTGGGACAGACTCAGAACTCGTGGACCTCGATCCCCAGGGGTCTAGAGGAAACGAATCTCTTAGCCATCTTGCGTAGTCTGATGCCACTACTACTGGAACCCCCATAGGCAGTTGCTGTTGAGTAAGCTATTGAGAACTAGTGCTATGGACTGATGGTGTCTCTCTGGTTGGTACACTGGTATGTACTGTAATCACTGTGTTTGTAGGACCGCCTGGAACACCTGAGGCAGCAGTGTGGTCCTCATGTCACTGCCGTCGCCAAAGACTCTGTAGAAGGAATCTGCTCCAAAATCTACCAGCTGTCTGCAGAGTACAGCCGTCGCCTGAGACAGACGCACCTGAGCCTGCTGCAGGACCCGGCCACAGGTATACACGCTTGAACCTGCTGCAGTGTTATCTGTGTTATTTGCAGGGGTGTTTGATGTGTTTGTGTGTTCAGAGGCGTGCGCATCGCCGCAGCAGTCCCGGCTGGTCTACTGCTACCCAGTGCGTCTGGCGATTCCCTCACCACCCCTCCCTCGTGTGGAACTGCACTTTGAAAACGACATGGCATGTCTACGCTTCAAGGGGGAGATGGTCAAAATCAACCGAGGCCACTTCAGCAAACTGGTCAGTACTGGTGATAGTACTGAGTGTACTGATTGAAACTGGGATTGCTCTGATGTTAATGATGTTCAGTGTAACACAGGGTCATGCAAGTGTGAGCACCTCTTAGCTGGAGCTCAGGAAACTGTACTGCGCACTATTGGTACTACAGTTTTATGTACTACTGTTGGAGTACCAATTGTGTTGTACTGTGTTAAACACACTGTTCACACACATTCTAATAATATCAGTCACTTTTAGTTTTTATCAGTTATTTCATCAGGAAAAATCAACACTTTCTCTAGATGTTTCACATTAAAAGCTTTCCATGAAATGAATGTCTGCTGTCCACCAGCAGAGAGCGACATGCCTTCGGCAGTCACGTCAAAAGTACACCTCTCTCTGTTTATCACTTGTCTCTGTTTGTTCAGGAGCTGCTGTACAGGTACAGCTGTATAGATGATCCTCGCTTTGAGAAGTTCCTGTCCAGAGTCTGGTGTCTCCTCAAGAGATACCAGGTCAGCAGACTTTCTGTAAACCAATCAGCTTTTACCTGTTCTCACCTGACAGTGTGTGTTTGGTAATGACTCCGTTCAATAGTGACTAAATGAGGTGTGTGTCCAGGTGATGTTTGGCAGTGGTGCTAATGAGGGGACAGGCCTCCAGGGGGCGCTGCCAGTGTCTGTGTTTGAGGCTTTGAACCGACAGTTTGGAGTTTCTTTTGAGTGTTTTGCCTCGCCACTCAACTGCTACTTTAAACAGTTCTGCTCAGCGTTCCCAGACATCGATGGATTCTTTGGATCCAGAGGGTGAGAGAAAGCGTATGGACCTGACAGCAATAGCTGAATAAAAGTCCTATATATTTTTATTGATATAACTACATATATAACATGTAGTACTCAAAGTGCGTATTGCAGTAAAGGGTTAGTAACAGAGTATGTGTTTTCAGGCCGTTCCTGTCTTTCTGTCCAGTCAGTGGCTCGTTTGAAGCCAACCCTCCGTTTTGTGAAGAGCTGATGGACACCATGGTGACGCACTTCGAGGTCAGTCCATTATAAGCATGTTTTTACCATGCTAGGCTGTACTGGGTTTTTACTAGTGTGTACCAGGTTATAATGGCTTGTGTCAGTATGTAGTACCCTGTTCTGTACCAGGGCTATCTAATCTGGACAGGCTTGGACCAGTCAGGATTTGCTTGCATCATACAGGTCTGTACTGGTCTTCTAAGTCCAGGTGGACACGCTGATGTCTGTCTCTCTGGCAGGAGCTGTTGGATCAGTCCTCTGAGCCGCTGTCCTTCATCATCTTCGTCCCCGAGTGGCGTGACCCTGTAACCCCAGCTCTGACCCGCATGGAGGGAAATCGGTTCCTCCGTCACCAGCTGAGCATCCCAGCCTACGAGCATGAGTATCGCTCGGGGAGCCAGCACATCTGCAAGAGGTACTTTTACTGCTACTGTACTACACTGATACTACTTTAACAATACACACAGTCAGTAAAAGATACTTGTACTACTGTGTTGCAGCACTTTCTGAATAGAACTATTTTTCTGGGAGTCAACACATAGGAGGTACAGGTTCAAATACTATGCTGACACTGATACTGTACTAGACCAGTACTGCACTGTGCAAACACAGGTATTAGTACTGTATTATGCTATACTTCACCCTTCTGTACGATTAACTACCTACTCCTACAGTGCAGCACTGGTGTTGACGTTGACACCGGAATATGATCTGGTTTGTCTTTTTACCAAAATGCATATTAGTTTTAGCCAAATTTTAATCTCGTGATTTTTTTTGTTAGTTTTAGTTAGTAAAACTAAATACATTTTAGTCTAGTTTTTGTCATTTTTAAACTGCATTTTTAATATTTACTGTAGGCTGTAACATCTTCATCCTGGTTGTGTACAGTTTACAATAGTTGCGTGTTGTTCCTGTCTGCCGTGAGGTTTGTGGAAAATTGAAAAACCTTAGAAAAAACTCAACTGGACTAGATTTCTAGGTCGAAGACGTTTCACCTCTTTGTTGGCCTTCAAAGGACTGAAACACCACCATGGGGATAAATATCTTATAGTTTCTTCCAAGAGGTGCTAACACCAGATGACAGACGGATCATTAATGATTTACTGAAGACCATGTTAAATTATCCTGTCGCCCCATAGGGCGTGCTGCTTGCAGATGAATTTGGTTCATAAAATAGTTTCTTCCAAGAGGTGCTAACACCAGATGACAGACGGATCATTACTGATTTACTGAAGACTGTAGTGAAATGCATCAAACTGCTAATTCAGCTCCTGAACACAAAATATTTTGGCAAGTGGAGGAAACTGATCTACCATTTGACTCCACAGATGCAGCACATCAAGTTACTTTATGTCCATTTCTCCATGTTTTACATCATTTATTTTTACTTATTGATGAAAAAAATAAACCATTTCATCATAGTTCCCGTTATCAAATGTTTCCTTTTATTTTGTTTGTTTTGGTTTTGTCCTGAAAAATAGGCCATAACGAATATTTTCATCATACTGTAGTTTTTATCAGTGACATTAACACTGTGCAGCACTCTGATTCTCCACTGATATTGAATTTTCAAAGACAGTACACTTCCTGTACTTAATTTAACGGCACCATGTGTGTCCCTGCAGAGAGGAGATGTAGTACATGGTACTGAAGTTTACTTGTACTACACAATGCTGTGTTAAACGGAGTGTTTTTCTGTGTTTTCAGGGAGGTGTACTACAGCGTAGGCCTACTGCACTGTAGTGTGTTAATATTTCACAGTGCTTTGTTAATCTCACTGTGTATTTACAGAGATGAAATGTACTACCGGGCGGTGCATGGTACAGCAGTACTCTTCCTTCAGAATGACGCAGGTTTTGCAAAGTGGGCTCCAACTCCGGAGCGTCTGGCCGAGGTAATGGCAGCATACCGCCCCTCCTCCACCCGCACTTCCTCCCTATCCTCTCCTGGCCCCGCCCACATCACCCCAGGAGAGAGAGAGATTGCCCCCAGGACCTCTGAAAGGATGCAGAGTGGTGTGATGTCACCAGGTGACCATGACAACAACAACAACAGCAGCAGCAGCAGCAGCAGCAGCACCAGTCCTCAAAACAAGATGGCTGCAGTGTAGAGAGGCTGGCCTTAGAGTGTGACCACGCCCCCTCACCTGTTGCAAAGTTTAACACTTTTCTGTTTTATGGCCTGCATTTGTTCTGATCATTATGTCTTCAGGTTTGTCTCACCAGTACCTGTAGCACATCCTCAGTTTCTCTCAGCATACCCACAGCTCTGTTCTGTCACCACCATTGTTGGGGTTCCTTAGTCCCCACACATGTCAGTGAGCAGTCATGTTTTGGAACAATAAAAACCTCATCTTTGACCTGTGATGTCACCTGTGATGTCACTGAATGACTTTTGAATGATTTCCAAACCTGTAGGGCTTGGTGATTGGTTGACAAGGCAGCTACTGTTTCTGTTGGAATTGTCTTTGTGAGTCTGACTTCAGGCCTCGCCTTCTTGGGATGTACAGCCAATCAGTGCTTCAGCCACAGCGGTGTCAGAACTGGGATAAGTCAAGAGGACAGATAACTGAGATACAGACTTCATATGTCCCTTCAGATCTCCTGTGGTCTCATCAGAGGCCTGCCATCAGATCCGTCATGGGGAGGGTGGTGTCACAGGTGTGGAACCAGGCATGTTTGGGAGCAGGTGGAGCTGCCTTAGTTATTAAGTGTGAGGAGTTTTTTTCTGCATTCATGTTTCGTGTGCGCACAGAACTCGGTTTAATTAGCAGCATACATATTTCTCCTAATATGACCTTATTCAGGACTTTCTTGTATTAATGCATTCTCAAAATACCTTTTAAAAAAAACTGACTTTTTCATGTTGTATCATTTTCCCTCAAAGAAATTACAACTTTTTCTGTAATATTACAAATCATTTATTTGTAATATGACTTGCCATGACTTTTCCCTTGTATATTAAGATTTTTCTCTTAATATTTTGGCATTTTCTCATGTTTCTCTTGTAATTGTATGACTTCCTTTAAAATTCTATTTTTAAAACAAATTATGACTTGTGTTCCTCATAATTCAACTTTTTCCTTGAAATCTAATTTTTTTTCCCCTTAATGACTATTTTAGTTAATTGACTTTTTTCTCTAAATATTTAGATTTTGAGCTAAAGTGCATTTTTTCAGGAGCCTTGGTGCATCATAGAACAAACATGTACGTTTTGAGTTTATGAAGGTTAGCAACCTTCTTGAAGCCACATTGGCTCCTCACACTTTGTAACTTGACACTCAGCTGACTGCACTCTGATTGGCCTGAGTCATCCTATCAGGCGGCTGTTGCCGCTGAGTCATCTTCTGAGTCATCCTATCAGGCGGCTGTTGTCGCTGAGTCATCCTATCAGGCGGCTGTTGTCGCTGAGTCCTCCTATCAAGCGGCTGAT